TCAATGAAAATATACTCAGTGATATGAATTAATTACAGACAAGTTACAAAACATACCCGGCAAAATTCATCAAATGAAATTTTCCCATCGTTGTCTATATCGGCTTCAGATATAGTCCGATCAGCAATACTATCTAGCTAAAAATAGTGTACATAATCAAGCATATAAATCAACTTTATCTGTCTCTTGCTCTTGAATTTGAACAACTTTCTCAAACATTATTTAACTGACTTCCTTTTAAAGTTAACTTTATGAGAACAATTTGACAAACAAAAACGAACTTGTTCAGCAGTTATATTAGCACCAACCATCATATTCAAGATCACTTTGAATTCATCCCTTGTTATGAAGCCATTCTTATTTAAATCATACATAGAAAATGCAACTGCAATACAACTCAATCTAAATACTGCAAAAATTTTGAACCTCCTAAAAAAGAAAATAAATGTTATATATCCTAAAAAATCTTTTTCGACGAAAGCGAAATTTATTGGTGTCATAAGCAAGGACAATTAACGAGAGATGAGCAAGATCCAACAAGTAATGAAGTATTTAGGTTTGATACCAAATAGAGCAAACTTCAAATTCAATGTTGAGATAATTAGACATGGATCTGTGATATATGAATATATCATTTAATATATTGTAAATAAATGAATAAACATGCATTGAAGAAAATAATGAAAAAGTGCTTACATTTCAATTTTTCCTCCCTACTGTTTAATATGTTTATCCTTTCTTTACTAATTGGCCTGAAATGTGCCAATACTCTGATGAATTCTCGAAAATTGATTTTCTGTTCCCGATCTTCTCTGAATTTTCAGCAAAATTTAGTAATCAATAAAAATATAATCGATAAAGATTAAAAATCAAAAGAGAAAATTTTCAAATTCAAGCTTGCAGAGATAAACTAGACAGACTGAGAGCAATAGCAGTAGAATGAATTACGTTTCAGTAAAAAATGCATCAACAATGCGGTCGCCCAATGGGTTGATAGCAAGTTCAGGAATTCTCAAGAAATCATCACGATCCAAGTATCCACGACCTATGATATAATGAGATCTAATTTTTCAACTTTGGTAAATTGTAGTGCACTAAATTTATTCATTTATTATTTTTTGCATTTGTAAGAATGAAAAGAGAGAAAATTTTACTTGAAATAGATTTTTTTGAAAAACTTTGAGTCAACAAGACATTAAATGATGACTAATTCTGATAAAAATTTGTTTCATTTATAAGTGAAACAAACAATGAGCTGAACACGTCACTTGCATGACACGTTTATGAAAAGCAATGAAGAGATTAGCAATCACCCTGTTTATCTAAAGATAAAAATCGACTGTACAAGCGGACAATTTGATTTCGTGTGACTGAAATAGACAAACTTTAACAAATTATGACAAACACTGAATTTTGCTCGCTTTACTCCATATTAAACTTTCACTTTTTTATGACGCATATAACACAGTCTCTCAATTGGAAAATAACTTTGTCATACTCATAAAAATAATCTAGTCTTAGTCTTATCAGTGGAGTGGCAATACAAAACTGCTCTCATAACTGTTGCACATGATAAAATGATATTAAGTGAGAATGAAACTTAACCACAAAAGAACTAGTGATGAATACATAAAGAGTAGAACTGATAACTTTGAAATATTAAAAATATATAAGCAAAGCTTACATCCCGTCTCTGATGCAATAGCCTGAATTTCGTCTTCCTGTAACATCAGCGAACTGCTGTTTCCCATGGCCGTGAAAATATCTTTATACCTGACTGACTTAATAGTAGCAGAAGCACTCTCTGGATTGATTAGTAGCAATCAACTTTGTGATTCTGTCTCGAAATATTATCTATATGTGATATCATGTAAGCAAACAGTTCTTAATTAAATTATCAATAGCAATTTTCAACAAATATGACAACAATGTTTGTGATAAATAACAGAAGCTTAATAGCTCGTATAACTAATACTTTTAACATACCACATACTGCTTATCTTTACTAAGTTTTCAAATACTATTAATTCATTAATATACCATAGATCACTTGATATTTATTATGGAACTGGAAAACATTTAAATAATTTTCAAATATTCAAAGTAAAACTTTTTGACAAAAAAAAATTGACTGCAGCAATTTTTTTGCAAGAGTAAGTTGTAAAAAGTCATTACACAGAGAATGCAAGACTTCAATATCAACTAATGAATGATCTTTAAATCATATGTTAATGGAAATAGTAAATTATTACTAATATAAAAAATGCAGGTAAAAATATTTTTATGAAATTTATTGAAGCGAAATTATAGTGACATGTAATTAGCATGCCCATTTTCGTCTAACTTTTGAAAAAAATGATATTACTCCTTAAAAATGATGCTTTCAATTAATGGTATGGTACGCATGACAAAATGATTTTTTTTAAACTAAACAGCATAATTGTATATTTTTCTCATATCTTATTTTGAAGCGAATTTTTTGAAATCAAACCGTGTAATTATTTTATTTTACGTTAATCATACGTGGAATTAAAAATCAATTCTTTCATAAATTATTTTCATATTTATTTGTTTAGCTTTTGTTCAAGAACAATTTACGTGTTATCAAAATTGTAAAGAGAACAAACTATAAAGTTTATCACTATTTTATTACTTATGTATCTATCACAAATTCAAACTAAACCATTACGCCTTTTCTTGAAATAATAACTGAAAAATAGACTTGAAAATTTTTATTCTCGTTAAATAAGAAAAAATTATCGAAAATCCACAATCGATTAAAGAATTATGACGGGAAGAGTAAACATAACAGCGAAGAGAGGTTGTCACCAAATACAAGAAAACGAGTTTTCGTCGTCTGATCACTTGCTCAAACTTACTTCTCCTTCACTGTAAAGCAAGGAGAAGTCAAACAATATATATACTACACTTTGAATTTAATTGAGTTACTTGAGGAAGACTGATTAACTAACTGACTGACTGACTGACTGGCTGACTGACTCACTGACTGAATGAGAATAATGTAGTAAATTACGCTGAAAGAAGATAAA